AGCGCTATTTATGCAATAGCGAAAATCAGACCTGAAAAAAATCAGGCCTGTACGGGATTCGAACCACTGACCTCTGCGATACTAGGCGCAGCGCTCTACCAATTGAGCTAACAAGCCATTGCCGTGCAGGCCTGATTTTTTTTAGGTCTGATTTTCGCTATTGCATAAATAGCGTTATCTACTGCGAAGGATCGTGCATCATACGTATTTAATACCGCAGTTCAAAATATATGAACTTCATATATTCATTGTAACCAAACTGGATGTTACTTTGTTAGCAATTGTGCGGTTATACATAACTTGGCGTCAACACGCGAAATATGCTTAATTCATTTGTAACAGTAACGAAACGCATCTTAAGTTTAGTGCCAACAGTAACAAACCCTTTCTTACTGAAGACGTGATCAGGAGAAACGAGCTCTTCTGTAAATTCGAACTCTCTGGATAAAATGTTTGCGTTTGTTTGGTTTCGTTTTGTTTGGTTTCGTTTTGTTGGTTTCGTTTTGTTTGGTTTCGTTTTGTTGGTTTCGTTTTGTTTGGTTTCGTTTTGTTGGTTTCGTTTCGTTTGGTTTCGTTTCGTTTGGTTTCGTTTCGCAAAGTACAGCAAGCCTTTCTTGATAGGTTCTTGTCTTTGCCTTCGCCCAGATCAGACGGAATTACGGAAGTTGAAAAAATATCGAATTCATACGGTCTAACCTGTGCTGTGGAAGTGATGGGAAGGGGGTGGGGAGGGATGAGGAAAACAAATGGAACAGGGCAGAGGTGAGATAAGAGAGGCTGTAGAAATCGGCGGAGCGTTTTTTCACAGAGTTCGGTTTTTTTCTTTAAGTTGTGATTGCTTTAAATTTGTAGTTTCACGGATAAAATCGCTGGAAATTGTTTAAACGAGGGAGGCGATACATTCCGCTAATTTGATGGTCAGGATTCACTGGAAATCTTGAATTTGGAAAGAAGCACATGACGAAATTTGCGTCTAATGAACAGTGTGAGTCAAAGAAGATGTGGACAATTCAGAAGGCCAGGCTACATTTTTTATCTAAACAAAGATGGCGGCCGCTAGCGAGTTTCCAACAGAACTTTCTACCCATCCTTTGGGTCTCATAGCTCTTATGGGACTTGATGTTAGTCAGAAACCTTTGCACAAAGCTATCTGGGAGTCTTTTTCTGTGAACAGGCATCCTGAGAGAGTTCCATTATCTTTTCGACTTCTGCCCATTGATCACGAATTTCCCAAAGCAAAATCAAAGGTGAGCTAAACCATATATTTCTGTTAAGTTTAATTGCCCTTAAATCCCTTGATTACGTTAAATCCTTATTTTTGACGTCTACCGTGTTGGCATGCATGCTTTGAAGAACGAGGCAGAACACAAAAGGATGCGACTGGACGAGACGTAAATAAGTGGCCTTGTATTATATTCTTAAAGTTTTACCTGTCTTCCTTGTTTACATTTAACTTCTTCCAATAGGGTGGAAGCTCTCTTGAAGCATTCTCTTGTTGGCAGACTGCCCTATCGAGGTCGCTTTAATTAGCTTCACTAAAACGACATTGAACTCCCAGAAGAAAGTTCTCCAGTTGATGCATCAGAAAAAAAATTGCCAATGAATGTATATCTCAAATCCGTTATGCTCTTGGGTTTTATTTTTTAACAAAGCACTTGTTTGTTCCTAACAAAACATTTCAACATTTTTCATGATGGTCAGATAATGTTGCAGTATGTGGGGCCCCTGTCATTGAAAATCCTTTCAGATATATGTAGTAGTGAAAGATCTCATAGAGTAACAGTAGACCACTGGTAGTTAGCTTTTCCAAAACCTCTGCCTACTCAAGTATATGCCAGCTTTTTGTTACAGAGTCTTCCTCTCTTATAGCGTTCTACCTACGAGTGGTACTTGCCAAAGGGTATCTTAAAGACAAAGTGGATGTACAAACATCTTTATCTCTCCCCTGCCGTGGTGGTGATGTTTTATGAGTTGGATTGGGATGATGCTCAGTGGAAAGACAGGCAAACTGAATGTGCTTCAAAACTAGAAAGAGTCAGGTAATAATTAGAGAATGAGTATGATATCTTACTCCTCTACAATAGTGAATTTCACCCCTTTAACTTCCATGATCTCATTAACATTCTCCCAACTGCTTTCTATACAATTCTTATGATCTTAGTTCAGAGAATTTGGTAGTGGATCAAATAATAATTCCCCTGATATATACTTTTCTATATTCCCTTGTCTGTTTAAAATTGTATTAATATTATATTAAGAAATTCTGTCTTGGTCACTCATGGAAGTTAAAGGGTTAATCATGGTTAATGACATGGCTGAAAATTGTTAAATAAATGTGACAAGCGTGGTTTGATTATTAGATAAGAAGGGTGCACTGTATATGCTGCAGACACTCTGGAAAACCCCTTATCTGCCAAGCTACAATCCGATACAAGTTATAATAGAGCATAACAAAATTCCAGCACAGCCACTTTCATACTTATCAGTTCATCAAGTGCTTAAAGAATATTTATTTAATCACTTTCACCAGAGTATGGTGAGGGTCGCACAACAGAGCGAGGCTCTAAGATCTAACCATTTCTTGATGTTATAGAAAGACAGCAAATTCTCCTCAATTATTTTAAGACCCTGAGTGTTGGTCTGGCCGGGACTCGAACCCTCGATCTCCCGCACAACAGTCCATGTTCTATTTATTGAGCTAACTAAGAGGCGGTTGAATCATAGAATAGACCTTGTACAGTTCATATGAATAACTCTGGATTTTATAACTTCAATCCTGCACATTAAACCATATAAAGCAATCTGTTAATATCTGAGCAGGACCAACCTCCAAGACCAGAACACCAAGGTTGCTGTGGTTCTTATCCAAAAAAATGCTCCCCTTCCTCCAGGTAAAGATTAATTATGATCATTGGCAATGAGAACTGTTTTATACATAAATGCATATGTATTGATAAGATGTTGTCATTCAGTGAATGACAGACATACATGGAAAAAAATAATTTTAACTGCACCCAGCAGTAGTCAAATTCACCACCTTCTGATAAGTGTTCATCACTCTACTACCGGACTGAGCGATAAAAAACTTGTGACAACTCAGAAGATCATAGGTTTAACTCCTATACAGTTTATATTACTAGGAGTTCCTTTTCTACAAGTGTTTTCCTTTAATTTTCTGAAAGTTGCATTACAATCTCATACATTGTATCTGCACCTACGGTATCTATCTGTTTTTACTTCTGTCTCTGTTCTTCCTCTGTGCCTCTGTGCCTCTGTGCCTCTGTGCCTCTGTGTCTCTGTGCCTCTGTGCCTCTGTGCCTCTGTGCCTCTGTGCCTCTGTGCCTCTGCGCCTCTGCGCCTCTGCGCCTCTGTGCCTCTGTGCCTCTGTGCCTCTGTGCCTCTGTGCCTCTGTGCCTCTGTGCCTCCCTACAACTGAACTACTCCCTAACTGTGGTGATCATGTTATTTATGCTAGTAACAAGCAACTGCAAGGTAAATCTTAAAAATCCGCCAGAAGAGAAATATATATCATTTATTGGATCAGGCATTCCTTTGGGTAAAAAACTGTGTCTGAAGTCTTGAGTATTAAGCAAGACTTCAGTCCATAATCAAATCAAGTGAGAGTTTTTTCCCAATATGGACTGACCTAGACAACTAAATAACTCCTTTGTTTATATATTATTTATTTGCGGGTTTGTTTGTTTATGTTTTTTTGCTTTGCAACAAATATCATAGAAAAAATTTTTAACCATATTTTAACAAGCTGGACCAGTTAATGCCCTTCAATAAACAAATCAGAAAATATATTTTACTTTATTTATTTCTATACCAAGAGGTTTTGAGTTACTGTACCTTTCATGAAGGAAATTCTTGCTTTCTTTATACATCACAGGTGATGATTTACAAGCACTAGAAAGAGCAGCAACACTGTGCAGTGCATGTGACCTATCAGCCAAATCATTGTTTGTCCTTCCACATACAGATCACTTGATTGGCTACACAATCAGGTATCTGTACAAAATTGATTATTTTAGATTAATTTTCATGAGATTGGTTTTCATTGGCTATGCAACAAGCCCAACTTTTGTCAAATATGGGAAAAGATATTAATATTTGGTGAGAGTTTTATATTTTTGTTAGACTAGTGTATTTAGTTTAGCCACACAAGAAAAATAACAAAACAGGACACAATTAAGACTAGTTTTTAGTTAGAAGTATAAGGAAAAAGTAACAGTGAGGCTGAAAGAAATTGGAAAATTTATGCATGAGTTAATAAGTTTGCAGGAAATCAGAGGTTACCAATGATTGTTAATTTAATTTAATTTAATTTAATAACTTCTAGAGCGCTATTTTCATTCAATGATCAACAGCGCTTAACAACTTAGAATACTACAGTAAATTCAAATTTATAAAACTAATTACATGTACATTAATATTGACAATGTATGTTGAAAATAAGAATAATATGGAATGTCCATAACAAGGATCTTAATTAGGAATAAGGATCTTAATAAGGAACTTAATTAGTAATACTAATAAAAGTAATTGTCAGACAGGGTACTTTGAGAAAGCTGCACGAAATAAATAAGTTTTCAGCTTACATTTAAAAGTGGAAAATGATTGAATATCACGTAGTTCAGCTGGCAGAGCATTCCATTCCATTTAACAAATCAACAGTGGTTTGGTGTGGTCTATACTTTTATCAACAACAACATTCCTCATCACGGTGGTCAAAATGTTTTGGAGCCAGGTGAGTCCACAAAAAATTCTGATCACTCTGATGACAAATATCATTGTTGATAAGAGTACAGACCATGCTTAACCACTGTTCAATTTGTTTTTTACCACAATCATTATATCAACCTCAAATAAAATGATTCTTTCAGTACATGACATGCTGCATGACTCGTTGACATTAGCAGTGTTGTCCATACTCTTATTAATAACAATGGCGAGTTGGCCAATTAGATTGTGACATTACTGCTAATTGTGGTAAAAAGTCATATGCATTTCTCAAGGCTTTCCTAAGCGAGTGAACATCCTCTCTATTGGTTTGGGTTTTGGTCTGATTAAATGATCTTGCTAAAATTTAATATCTTATTCAGTCATTGGAGATAAAATTCATACAGCTTATAAAATAAAAAGGGTTGAAGTGTGAAACTTATGAGATGAATATTCTCTTTCTTTTCTTTTGTTGTAAGCCTGGAGAATGCTTTTTATGATTTAGCACAGAGTTATTACCATGGAGAATGTAGGAGAGTTAAAGCTCACAAGGTGAGATTGGAATCCTAACAATGTTGGAGAAAGGGAAGAAGGAGCAGGAGGGGCCAAAAAGCCCTTAATTACTTCATGCTGCAGAAAAATTGGGAGCTGCAGTAGCAAACATAATAAACTGTGTCTTCTGTTGAGTGGTCGTGGTCTAAAGTTTATTTTCAATTGTCACTGTTTACATTGTCTTGTAAATGTAGATGGATGAAACAGATTGAAGATGATGCCACAGTTTCTGAGGGTCTTGCATTAAATTTTCAATAAGTCACTTAAGAGGGGAAAAGATAGCTCTCTGGTTTTCATTTTGGACTCTTTGATTAAACTGCCTTTAGTACAACTTAAAACCAGGTTTAAAGCAATTGGGTTTTTTGGTAGGACACTTCCCCTACTAAGTAACTTTCTCTCCTTGGATCAAGGACAGAAAAGTAGGAGTAGATATTCTCTGCCTAGTAGAAAAGAGTGCCAAACTTCTGGGTCATATACATGCTTGAAGCAGTCTTGCCTGGTAGTGCATTGCAATGTTTCTACATAATACCTTTTGGTGACCAGAATTAGCAACAAAATAAGTTTATGTAGTAGCAGAAAGGAGTGGTAAAGTTTTATCAATGTTAGGAATGAAGTGACACTTAATGTTTCCATTCCCTTTATGATCATAGGAATTTCTTAACAAAGGAACTCATCAGGTGAGAACTTCATGTAGCTAAAACTATTATTTTATGCCAAAATTTAAAGTGATGGATAATCTGCTCAAACTGTGGAAGTACCGGTACATTCATTTGAAGGCTGAGGGAAAGAATTGGCTAGAATTATAAACAGAAAAGTGTTTTAATATCAGCTTTGTGGCAGTGGTGGTGGTGTGTTTAGGAAGCAGGGTTCATGTAATTCCTCTCCTTAAGAGTTGCCTTGAAGTGTTTCTCTGTTGATGTCTGTTTTGTGCCCACCGAAAACATTCCTAGACACATTTCTATCTGCACATGGCCACAATTCATAGGTGTCTTCTTTTGCTTCTCTACTGTTGTCCTAGCTGTTGTTAGTACGACACCAATTCAAGGTTGCCTTCTTCAATGAGCTAAGACAGGACCCTCACTCTGCTATCAAGTAAGTTTGTCTGCATTTATTTTTTTATTGATCTTGCAGTGACAACAATAAGTTTGCCAAAAGGCAGACCAAAATGTTTACCCCTTTTTTTCAGATAAGGGGTCAGGAAGGAAAAGGAACTTTCAAGGCTGTTAGCCTAACTTAGTGTTAAATGGTTAATGGAAAAAAATTTAAAAGAAAAGAAAAAAACAAAACAAAATAGAAATGAAAAATTGAAAAAAAAGGACACACTGTGTAAATTTTACACAACATACTGTGCAGCAGACCACACTGTTTGTCGCGGAAATATGAGTAGCATGAGCCAGTACTTGTTGTAGGATGTTCATGAGATGTCCCAAGGTTTAAGAGTTAGAACAATGGGGGAGAAGGAACAAAATTTTTTAAAAGAAAATGATGGAGTATTTTGTAGTTTTGCATCTCTCACTTTAAATTTAGACCACCCACAGTGAAGAAGAAAGGTTGTTCTACCTTGCCACATGACAGCCACAACACAGTTTACCAAAATTGGCAACTCCTGCTTCAAATTTCTTCCCCAAAAATTTTCAATCTTCTTGCCTTGGGGACATTACACCTTTAACTCCCAATTTAATTACATTATTAAACAGTTACTAGACATCAACTGATTGATGTAAGACATTGTTCATTTTAACCTCAGGCACTACAGGCAGGCTTACAGTCTTCTCGGAGAAATCAAGACAATGGATATGAATATGCTAGAGATCAAAGTTGTTGCAGGATTTATTAATTACAAGGTTTGTTTTTTACACATTTTAGAACTCTAGATAGTATATTTAACAAATTGAAAGTGACAATGATATTCATGATCACAGTGGTCATTTTTTATCAATCATCTGACAGATTTGTCGTCTAAGTTTCCAAGCTTCAGCTCCATTAGATGCCATATCTCAATTCAGAAGGCATGTGGATTTGTTCAAGGAAAAGGTTGGCTGCCCTGACTTAGCCTTTGAACACTCAGCCTGGCTCTCTAAACAGTGAGTACTTTTTCACTTAGCGCATAGCCACCTTAAACCATAGACCCTTTGCTTAAGTCTCCTTGCTCTTGACTAGTGGGTCAATTTGTTATTTTCCTATAAGCTTACACATGTACAGCTATAAAATCTAGGGGGA